TCTGTTTCATCATCTGCAGCAGTAAAAGACCTTGGTGTGATTATCGACTCTAGTCTTTCTTTTGAAGCTCATGTAGATAATATAACTAGGATTGCTTTCTTTCATCTCAGAAATATTGCTAAAATAAGAAATATATTGTCACTACACGATGCAGAAAAAATAGTTCATGCTTTTGTTACCTCTAGGTTGGATTATTGTAGTGCCTTACTGTCTGGATGTTCCAGTAGATGCATAAACAAGCTCCAGTTAGTCCAGAATGCAGCAGCAAGAATACTTACTAGAACCAGAAGATATGACCACATCACCCCTATCTTATCCACGCTGCATTGGCTCCCAATCAAATTTCGTATTGATTATAAAATACTACTATTGACCTATAAAGCACTAAATGGTCTCGCGCCACAGTACCTGAGCGAACTTTTGGTCTTGTATGATCTGCCACGCCTACTTAGATCAAAAGGTGAAGGCTATTTATTGGTACCTCGAATAGTGCGTGCTACAGCTGGGGGTAGAGCTTTCTCTTACAATGCCCCACAGTTATGGAACAGCCTTCCACTTAGTGTTCGGGGCTCAGACACAGTCTCAGTGTTTAAGTCTAGGCTGAAAACATATTTGTTTAGTCAAGCCTTTTGTGAATAGTTTTTTCTTAGGTACATGAATCTTCTGTAGTAACCCGCCAACCCTAGGAAGGCCCGTACCTGTTTTTTGGTGGTTGGTCTCAGATACTAACGTACTGCCTCAATTTACGTTTCCTGCAGCATGAGCGGGCCCTGGCCGATGCGGTATCCCAGGTACTGGGCCTCTGTTAGCCCCAGGTGACATTTCTTTGGGTTGGCGGTTAGCCCGGACTTACGGAGCTCTTACAGGATGGCCCTCAGGTGGTGGATGTGATCGGACCAGGTGGAGGAATGTATCACCACATCGTCCAGGTATGCAGCTGCATAGTGCCGGTGGGGGCGCAGGACTATGTCCATCAGATGTTGGAAGGTTGCAGCCGCTCCATGCAGCCCAAAGGGGTTTGCGGGTGGTAGACAGACGTCCTCAGGTGGGTTACATGCAACAACCGACACAGATCCATCATTAGTTTTGACATAAAAGGCGTACCTTGGTCGGTCAGGATGTCCTTTGCGATTCCCACGTGGTTGAAGAGGAGCAGGAGCTCATGGGCGATGTTCCGGGATGTGGCCTTCCTCAGGAATACTGCCTCGGGGTACCGGGTGGAATAATCTATGATGAATAGGGTGTATTCGTGTCCCCAGTCAGATTTCGGCAGCAGCCCTACTAGGTCCATGCCGATGTTTTTGAAGGGGACACCTATGATGGGGAGGGGGATGAGAGGTGTGAGAGCAGGCTTATAGGGGCTTGTTCGCTGACACTGGGGGCACCTCTGGCAGAAGGCCCCGATTTCTGCATCCATTCCGGGCCACGACAATTAGGAGAAGTGTGCCTTTGTGCTGCGCGCTGCTTATGCGCACTGAGCGCCTCTGCTCACAGTGCTCGGTGTGAGGGGGAAATATGTGACAGGGAAGAGTTTTTACAGATGTTTACAGATTTTTCATTTCATTATTTTCTCCTGTGTGATTCATGAAGTAATGACATGATTTGTTCAAAAAAGTCGTCAATGAAAGCAAAATGTTTATAGACGTTTGTACAGAAAAGTGTACATCAAGTTCTGAAGAGGTTCCTCATCTGTTCAGAGTCAAAAGCAGCAACGTGACACGTTATTACGATACAAAACATAACATAGCCATGCTAGTTGCTTATCTGACGCTTTGTAAACAAGGAATTTCATATAAATGGACCTTTACAAATTTTACTTGAATCTCAAGCTGGTGTCTTTCTTAACCTTCGGGCTCCACACTATCACCCTGTTCATCTAAAAAACAGACTTATTTAATGCAGCTGTGAGTGATGTGTGTGCTACACCTTGTGCCAAGCTCTATCTCCTTCGTGTTAACACTTTACCCCCCCTCCACCCCCAACATACACAGACACACACACAAGTTCTGTTGACCACAAACAGCACCTTTTGTACTGTGGTCTCTGTTCTCACACAGTGCACTCTTTCTCTCTCAGATGTTCAATCTTATTCATGTAAATCATTTTCCGTTTACTAACTTAAAAAACATTTTAATTTTTATTCTGTCTTTTTTAAAACTACTTTTAAAGATGCAAATAAAAGAGAATATTGTTCTTTAGCACTTCACACTACAAACGCATTCTGATGTGTAAAGAAGTACAGGCCATAATAATAATTAGGCACATTTAATTAGAGTTATTTATTATCTCTGTTATGTAAATCCTATGAAAACAGAATGTTTATAGGCATTTGAACAGAAAAGTGTACATCAAGTTCTGAAGAAGTACCTCATCCGTCAAAAGCAGCAACATGACGCATCACTACAAAACAAAACATAACCACTTTGAGTTGCCTTATAGCCATAAACTTGTATGTAATGTAAATCTTATGTATCTGGTCCTGTAGAATTTTTACTTGAATGGTAACTTGTTAGCAATATTTTTATTTATTTCTTGTTCTGTTAGTGGTTCCAACTTAGAGTGCTGAGTTGGACACTCTGGTTCTCTACTGTATGATGTGCTGTGTTGTTTAACACAAGATCTGAGTTTGGACTTTACAGATTTACTGTTTTACTCCAATAAAACTGCACTTATTTATATTTATTTTATTGCAAAGTGAGTTGTAAGTTTGGCTGTGAAGTGTTAAATGCTGCTCGTGTCTGTCTCAGTGTAACTGAAAACCACAGCTG